GACCCGAGGAGCCACGGGATTGGCCGGTCCGGCCTCCTCGCGACTCCCATTTACAGTAAATCTAATTGGGGGGCTCGTTAGCTCGTTTAGCTTCCCGCGCGGCGCGGAGGGGCTTTCTGGGGGTCATGTGACTTCCTGTTCCTGGCGTTAGCATTAGCCGCCGTTCGGTTCGCTGGGAGCAAACGGACGGGACCTCCGGACCCCCTGCTCCTCTTTATGGGCCTCCCTCTGTCTCTCAACATACACAAAAAAGCCCTAAGTACAGCTTTAAAGCCCCAAAACAGGTTTAAGGCCCCAAAAAACAGCTTTACAAGCCCCAAAATAGCTTTATAGCCCCCCAAAAAATGCTTTAAATGCCCCAAAAAACGCGTTAAAACCCCAAAATAGCTTTATAGCCCTCCAAAAACAGCTTTAAAACCAAAAAATAGTTTTATAGTCCCCTAAGAAACGCTTTAAATGCCCCAAAATAGCTTTATAGCCCCCCAAAGAATGCTTTAAAAACCCCAAAATTTAAAATGTCACAAAAACGCCACAATACAGCTTCAAAGCCCCAAAAACACGCTTTGATAGCCACAAAATAGCTTTACAGGCCCAAAAAACAGCTTTAAGATGGAGGAAGGAGCTACCATTGGGTGTTTTTGGAGAAAAGCCTCTGAATGCAGAAACAGGAACATGAAAGCCCTCAAAGCAGCTTTAAAAGCCACAAAAAACAGCCTTTAAAGACACAAAATAGCTTTAAAGCTCCAAAAAACAGCTTTAAAAGCCCCAAACATCTTTAAAGCCCCCCAAAAACCCTTTGAAGCCACAAAATAGCTTCAAAAGCCCCAAAAAACAGCTTTAAAACCCCCCAAAACGGCTTTAAAAATCACCCCAAAACAGCTTTAAAAGCCACAAAATGGTGTGAAACCCCCAAAACGGCTTTAAGAGAGCTGATAGGCAGAAACAAGAACAGAACCAAAAACTGGGAAATCTTTACCCGCCCGGCCTTTTTTCAACATCCAGCCAAATAAATACCAGAGAAATGGCGGGCGGATGGAGGCCGTCAGAAATCCCCACGGCGCGTCAGAGCCTGAAGGCAACACGCCCTGTAGTGTCCAGAGCTGTGCAAACACACGCCCAACGCCCAAAGAGCCTAAAAACAGCCAACTTTCCAGCCAAACCTCCCAGAACACGTCACTATTTTAGCCTTCAATTCTTCTCCTCATTCAGATTTCTTTATTTATCTGGAAAACAACAGTTCTTCTGCCTCATATCTGTTTTTTTTTGCTCTTTAAATCACAAATTTATTCGAGCATACCAGATTTTTCCTCCGTTTATTTCTATTTATTTGTCATTTTCTTTGTTTTATTCAAAAGTCCGGAGGTGGATCTGTGCTGGTTGGGAGTTAAAAGGCCGTTGAAATGTTTGGAACTTACATAACACAGAGACTCAGAGCTGGAAAAAGCAGGAATTCCCTCATTTGTGATCCAGTATATTAAATTACAGCAGCGAGACAATGAGCAGCGAATGCAGCGGGTCGCTGGGCTCATCACCGGGAATTAAGGAATTAAGAATCCCAAGCAGAAAAACTCAAATTCAGGAGGGACAGAAAGATTTTAAACAAAAGTCTAATAAACCAAGAGGTCCAAGAGTACAAAAACCAACTGGTTAGGAATTTAAAAACAGGTTAGCTTTTACTTAGATACAAAACAGGATTTTGCTATAACTTCAGAGTAATAAATACAACCTAGGTAAAATGACTTTCAAAGTGTTATTTAGCACATTCCCTGCCTTGT